CTTAGCAATCAGCCATCAGCCCTCTTCAAGCTGTCGAATATAGATAGGAGATCAACTTCAAGTTCACGGCAGGCAGGTAGTAAAGGCAAGCGCATAGGCAGGGGATAGGCATTCAAATCACTATCAGAAAATGCTGGCTTCATAATGAACACTAAAAGCGTAATTCAATTCATCGAATGAGTACCTATCCCTTACGGGAATCGAACCCGTGTCTTCGACATGAAAAGACGATGTCTTAACCACTAGACGAAAGGGATCAAAAAGAAAAAAAAAATCTCTTAAGGGATCAATTTGAAAGAGTGCTTCCTTTACCTCAAACAAGAAAAGATTTGCAGCATTATTTATTGTTTAAAGCTAAGACTTTTAGCGTAAAGCGGGTAGCTTGCCACTCGTACGTCCTATCCAAACTAATCGGGCAGTGGAGGTTCAGAGAGAAACTACTTTCCGTTGTTGGTTTGGGTAAAATCCTTCTTCTATTGTTCCGGTGATGATGACTTCTTCTTCTGTATACTAAGCTTGGGGCTTTGACTTTGTTTGAGAAAAGATAGGAGTTTTTTTAACGGACTTGGTCTATCTTTCCTCCATTGCTTTCTAGATGTCCTCTTAGAAGGGTACTTCCTTCTTTTTCTTTTTTTATTTCTTTCTTTCTGGTTTTGGTGGTCACAATAGGTCTTATTCTAAATTGATCGCATATACCACCTTTTCTGAAACTAAGTTCCCCTTTCTTTATCTAAAGAATTAGATTTCGAGAATAGAGTTCCGCAATGGTCTTCTCTACAGCAGAGAAAAGACAACCATAGGGGAGGCTCTCGAGAGAACCGCTAAGATTTTCTCTCACTAACTGCGAGAATCCTTTTGTTTTGGAAGACCAGCAATAAATTGATCCTTCCAGACAAGAATGGGTCTGGAATCTTGTAGATTCTAGCAAAGAGGGTCTTCTTATACCAAGGGAAATCTTAGACTCGCCTGATCCTCAGATTGGGAAGAATCTCAGTGTGTTTACTGATTGTATCATCTGAGAGACCACCGAAGTGAAGGCGAATAGTGGCAAGAAGACTTTCTACCGGATTAGGTATCGGCTGTCCAAAAGAATTCAAAAGTATGTAATCAAATTCTCCGACGTGAGAATATTGTATTGAGGAATTGACCGCATCTGGTAATCTTTCCCACCATGCTAGGAGATTTCCGGTGAAGCCTAACAGTAGATTGGCTGCTGCTACAGGATGACGTCCAGCTTAAACATAGGTGTTAGCGGCTGCTAACATATTTGCCAAAACGACTTCGACTTCCTCGCCATTGAGGCCGTCGATTCTCCATGGGTAGATTGAGTTACTATTGAATCCCGAAAAAAATCAGTCTATTGGAGCTCAATAGGACGTGGTTTTCCACCAAGAACGTTGATGCGCCCCGGTTGTGGAATTTCTTCATCTTCCGACGATGTAGGTGTAGCCAACTCTCGTGGAGAGTTTAGCCGCATGCCTGCTATGCCTTTTCCCTTCCCTTCCGGGAAGATTTAGAACTTCGTCCGGGGTATACGGGTCTACCAGCTACAACCATGAAGCTGGGGTCATCGTGTTAGAAGGTCTTCTTCCAAGGTGGCAAAGATGAAGCTTGACTCGGGTAGGGACTGCTACTTTGGAAACCTCCAGAGGTGCCGAAGGATCTTCCAACAAAGTGTTCGCTATATCTTCCTCCAAAACAAAACCTCTATTGCTTCAAAAGGTGGTCTTTTCCATAAGGTAGGAGATGAGGTTCCGGGTATACTTCCTAGCGTTGGGAACGCAGGAGGTGCAAGATTTTGCTGATGCAGGGTCAGAGGATTCCTCATTTTGACTATCTTCGCTTGCATCAGAAACATCACCAGCTCCTTGATGTCTTTCAATATGCTCAGTCCGTTTAAATGAAATTGTCCAAACTCGATTGAATGGCATTGAGGCTATTCTGTAGATCCTTCAGGTACTTTGGCAGATTACCAAGGTTAGTACAGATATGGATAAGAGTTAGTCCAGTTCAGCTGCTTGTGCAATACCGAAGGTGAAACATCTGAAGGTGAGTGAACTGGATTAGCCACAGACTCTCCATTTACTGTAATTTCCTCGAACGGTGCCATCTCTCTTACTTGACTTTTTGATCTCGGAACTGGTGAAGAGTTGCTATTCTTATTTTTTGACCATGTAGTCAATTCATTACTCCTGGTTTTCGCTTTTCTTCAGGACATTTCGCACGAGTGGAAGTACCCGATTTTACACACTCGAATAAGCTAGAGGTAAGCTGCTCTTACTTAACAATACAATTGAATATTCAATAGTTATTCACTAAGTCTTCCACAGAAGTCATTTTTCTTTGAGTGGGTGTGCTAGAGAAGGCTTGTGAAGAAGTAGGATCTCTGTCTTCTCTCTCATTCTCATCATCGAAATGGATCTTCTATTTGTAGAATAGGTAACTGGAGGATGAGGTTCACCAGAGGATAGAAATTTTTGTCCTCTAAAGGAAAGAGAAACCTTGGAATAGTCTTCCCAAAAGCCCTAAACAATAGGGTTTCATCAGAAAATGATTCATCATAAAAGGAGTCGGAACCAGAAGACGTCTTAACACGAATCTTTGGGAAAGTGGACACAGCAGACCAAGCCCCAAAAGAGGTTGCCGAGCTCAAAGGCGCTCCCCCAGAGCTGGAAGATGGAGGGCAAGCCACTGTCGATGAACTAGTATAAGTGAAAACCTGGATACAGATCAAGAACCCAGGCCAACCTACGCCTTCAAAGAAAGCCTATTTGAGACTAAGGCGGGTTTGGATCGAAATGGAATCCCCCAACTCCCAGCTTCTAGCCCTCTCTTTGCGGGCATTTTCCTTCCTTCGACGAAGCCCGTGGTGGATAGGTCTAGTTCGAAGCAAGCTCACCAGGCTCCCCCGCCCCCTTCTTAGCTCTCTTCTTCCATCGGCTCTTCTTTCATCTGGAAGAATTGGTCCTTTCCTGTTGGCGAATCTCCTTGCTATTGTTGTTTCAAATATATATCCCATTCCTGCCTGTCCTGCGGTACCAGCTCTTGGTCTTGATGTGGCTCTTTCGGAAGTTGCGGAAGATAGTATAGATGCTCCTGTTCTTTCTGCGGCAGTTGTGGATGCGCTTTACTTCTTTCTGAGTATCCCAGTGCAGCTGTCTTGTTCAAGCTATGGATCTTATAAGAGAAGGAGTGTGAAAGCTAGCTCTTGAAAGCAGTGCGAGTTAGGCCCGAAAGCAAGAGAGAGTTCGTTTACCACAGGCGCTAATTCTATGATTGAAAAGCTGATGAATGTGCTAATCCAGAAGAAGGAAAAGCAGACGCAAGCAAGACGAGAGGCATCCCGAAACCAATGAAACTAGGTCAGCTGCTTGATTGTTGATCCGTCAAAGAACCTATCTTCTTGAACAGCCTATTTCGTAATAATAGGTGTTGCACCATAAGGGCTTGCTCTGTGACCAGTCAGAACCTCTCTTTGTCACCAACCTCTTTTCTAAGAAGAGTTTGTTATAGAAGGGCTTGCTCGATCCTGATAGGAACGAACCAAAGTCTCGAACTGATGCTCCAAAGGCGGGAGTCCGAGCATCGACGTCTAAAAGTTCCAATGCGTGAGTCAGGCCAAAGGTTTTTTAGTCGAAAGGGGGAAAGCTAGGATTCGAGCCAAAGGAAAGAGGTTTAGTCTCTGCCCATGTGCCTGTTTTTGTTGATGCAGAACACTGCCTTTAAAGAGTAGTTGTCTCCGCCTCCAGCTGCCGATGTTGTTGATTTGGTGACCTTCACCCGTACCAAAGTAGGAAGATTCGTCCAATCGGTCAACCGAAAGCGGCATTCGGAGGCAGTCGCAGGGAGGGGTTCAGTCCAAACCAAAGAGGAGAAGAAGTTTTCCTTCTGGTTGCGCCCCTCTGGAACGATTCGTCGAAAAGTGGGAATAGTCGTCGCATCCACGTGGAAAAGTGTCAAAGAAGGAGTCGGGTCACCCTACTACATCTGCGGAAGGAGTGCTTTTTGTGTTTTGTTTTCTTGGGCTAGGCCTAACTGGAGTCACTCCTTTTCTAGTCTTAGCTCTGAGTCCACAACTTCGATTTCATAAGAGAAGGGCTTGTTTCATAAGATCGGCTGCTATTTCTCTGCGAGGCCATCGGGACTCTATTCGCCCAGCGAAATCCGTTGTCTAAAAAGAGCGGTTGAATCAAAGATAGCAATCCCGAACGAACCTCTATAGGCTAAGGATGAATGTTTTATCACCAGTAATTTGATTAGGAGAATGCTAATGAACCTGTTTTCGGAGGAGAACAAGAACGAGACAGAACAGCGGAACTCACAGATAAAAGAGTCTCCCGCGCCCATTACACTCTCTTAGACTTCCTAATTGTCTTTAAGCACACGTCACTGCTCCTACTGTTAGATTCAGTAGACAGCACAGGGGACCAAAATCAGGAAGTCATCTACTGCGCCCCGGACACTCCCCAAGGGAGAAGTTGCTTTGTTCGCGCTTGAACTGCACTCTGCTAGCTCCTATGCTTCCACTTTCAGACAGTTCCTAGAAAAGAAGTACTAGACTGAGAACAGGGAAGAGAACTATTGTTGACAGATATCGCTTAACTGATTGCGCCATAAGTACAGTACTAGAGTAAAGGAGGAACTATTTAAAGAAAGGAATCAAAGAATGATGAAACCCCCCTATAGAATGAATAAGCCATCGCACTTGCGGGGCTTCTATGAGCTTCAGCCTCCACTAATAATTAAGGGAAAAGGCCCTTAGCTCCCAATGAATTCAAACTTGCAAAGAAAGGGATCACCGGAAGTGGAGCGCTCTCCTTAGCGCAAGCCATAAGAAGGCAGCAACCTACCTTTAATTGCTCTTTCAGCCAAGTCGAAAGATGAAAAGGGGCTTTCTTCTAAAGTAGCTATTTTTGTTATAGAAGGTCATCTCCAAGTCGAGAAAGGTTCTTTGATTCTATACACTAAAAACCATGAAATACCTCTTTTGCTTTCAAAAAAATGTCAACCCCTACAGGACAAGGGCGGAACTTGTTTTGGAAGAGGGGATCACCTAGGTAGCGCATAAGCTGGAGCCGGAGACTGGACCAACTATTGCAAGAGGCCGGCTTCCCGGTCAAATGAAGGGTATTTCCCAGAAGGAGAGTTGAGTAATGGCGGGTTTCGGGACTTAATGACTTTTCTGGTGGTTCACTGGCAGGTTGGGAATCCGAATATCCCACAATGCCCTATTCAATCTAGGTTCACCGAAATAGGATTTCCAGATATAGTGCCTTTGATTATACCAGGCGTGTACCCCATCTATAAGTTGCTAGTTCGGCTTGTGATGATAGTTTAGTAGTATAAAATAAGTCAAGTATAGTACATCGAAGTACGGAAGGAAGAAGAGAGGAATCCACTCCAAGTCCCTTTTGTGTGTGGATCTTATGGATCTCCTGTATCGACCGGACTAAGAGTCAAATAAGGTTAGATTGCCTTACCACCAGTAGTTGAAAGACAGCGTTTCAGGCCCATAGTTGTATTCAGTAAGTTGGGTAGCTCAATTCCAATCTTTCAGCCTAGGACTTCTTCTTACTGGAAAAGCGATGCCAGGAGTCGTGCTAGCTGGAGACTGAGACTTAGCTTGAGCTTGAGCCATATATATGTTATGTTATGTTATGTTATGTTATGTTATGTTATGTTATGTTATGTTATGTTATGTTATGTTATGTTATGTTATGTTATGTACAGTACAATATATCTTGCGTCTGAACTTGAGCTAGAAGCCGAACCGCTTACCAACAGTTCTTTTTTCCCGGTTTCTAACCGCAAGAGGGGCGAAGCGAAGAGGTTTAGGGAGGGGGAAGGGGACCGAGAAGGAGGGATCGGACATTCAGTTCAAGGTGGAGAACCTATAGTTACGTTCAACACAGCAAACTACTTGTCTTTGGGGTTACCTTTCTGTCATTAAAACAGATTCAGATACGATTGGAGTCACTTGACAGGGGCATCTCTATTGGATCCCCGGGTTGGCACTAAAGAAGGAGGGTTCCACTTAAGTTGAATTCCGTTTCGTCAGGGGCTCCCCAAACTCTTTCTATTGCGGGCTTGAGCATATACTTCTTTGTCCGTAATCACTGGCTTTCAAGGTGTATACTTAGAGCAAAAGGAATGAAACCAAAGTTCACTTTTTGTTAGATACCAGGGAAGTACTTACAGCTAGGCCTTCTTGCACTTCAAACCCTTCTTTCTTTTGCTAGAGTTTGATCCTACAATAGTCTATAGCAACCTTCATTCCTATAACCTCCTGCCGTTGAAGCTACGGTCCAGTAGCCTCTGTCGATACTATAGTCAGAAGAATCCCCATACCACTCAAGATAGAGCCTTACACCTGATGGAGAGGCAGTTGTTCGTAAACCAAAAACCCAGCGCATTGTACGATGCGAGATTCCAAGAAAACTGGAAGAAGGTCGTGAACTATTTCATCTGCTGGAGGAGCGAAGCCACTCGACTAAAAGGAGAGGAAATGATAGCTAGCTCGACCTTATTATTATGAAAAGGGGAGAGGAAATGCAATTGCCTTAGTAGAAGTGGGTTTACGAGGTTAAGGAGAGAAAAGAAGATACGGCTTCAAAGCCGGATATAAAGTATAGAGCTGAGACTAAGCAAACGGAGGATCTAAAAAGGGTGTTTAATACTGGGTCGATCTGATGCTCGATCGATCGAGGGAATGGGATTGATACCGAGGAGGAGAAGTGAAATCCGGCTACTCGACTATCTTTCCCACTTCCAGTATTTCCACCTGAGCACCCATCAGAAAGAATTCGATCAAATGTTGTCGATTCTTCAAGTCAAGGGGACATATAAAGTCAAGGCTCTAACAACCGAATTGGGATCTTAGGCCTCAAGATGAAAAAAGGCTTGAGGGAGGAGTCCCGCTCGAAGATCTCCCCTTTCGATCAGTTGGTTTCGTAGGATCGATGGATCAAACTGGAAGATTGGACAATAGGCGAAAGTTGGAAGAAACTCGGACCAGGTGCCCGGTTGCGGGAGAAGATCTATGTCACCACTTGAAGGGTTGTTGGGGCTTCGAGGGGTTGAAAGAATCGTAGGATAGTAGGATAGTTTATAGTTGGAATTATGAAACCTAGGTTTCGCTCAATGACTGAACCTGGACTCAAAGCCAGGCTGCCTACGTACCTTCGGGGATCAAGTCATAACGGAGTTCTTTTCTATTAAGCACAGCACACATTAGTACGAGTTACACGTTTTAGCTAAAAAAAAAACCACTTATTACATTAAAAGATCCAAGGCTTTCAGATATAATTCACTGGCTGGGTTTTGTAACTGGTCTACCAGTATACTAAGATCATCTCGGCTTACTATATCCCCGAGGCTGACTCTTTGAGCAAGGGTTTGTGCTATGTCCAACCAGTTGTATTGATCACGCGAAAGGGAAGGATCGAAAAAGGCCCTAAGACTAATAGATAGTAAGCATATGAAGGATTGCAGCCTTTAAGCGCAACGTATCCGCGGAATCCATCGGAAGCGCCTGTGGCAGGTCGACTTCAGCCAAAAAGTCCGGGATTTGTGGCTGGGTATGGATGTCCTTGAATTTAAAACATGAAAAAATGATTTTGAACATCATGAGTTTTTTACAGTATCTATAGAATGAGCCCAGAAGATTGTTGGGGAACTATCTGCTTCAAAAAGATAGTGGTCAGAATGAAACACATAGACATAATGTCGAGTGTCATAAGATTCCTCCTCTTCCTATGGATCCAAAATCTTTTTGAAAAACCCCATAACATAAGATGTTGATCCCACGCATCGTAGCCTCCCATAAGCGCCAAAGATCGGTGATGTTGAAGAAATCAATCATTTCTAAGTTGCAATCGAAAAAATGCTTAGTCATTGAGTCTTGACTCCCCTGCATCTTGTTCATTTTCTTTCTTGATGCTCGTGTCAGGGGGGTTAATAATAACAAAATGAAAACAGAAAGCCTTGACGATGGAACAAATGGCTTGTCCTCAGCACCAGAAAAAGAAAAGAAAGAAAACCTGCTTCTACTGCCGAGTCTACTCCTGTCCTTCGAATGAGTTGAAAGACCCTTGCTTTATCACAAGGCTTGTGAGCTGTGCCTTCTAGCACCTAAGCACTCGGAAAAAAAAAAGAAATATGAGTTCCTAGGAACGAGCAAGGAAGATTTTGAGCCCCAACGACAAACGAACCTACGGGCGGGGCATTTTCGGGGAGTAGCCCTTTTAAAACCCATTACTCAATAAGGCAATTCCTCGCACATAATTAAGGGAGCCATTGAAAGGTGACTAAAACACCAGAAACGGGGACTACCCAAGCTAATGATAGAGGCAAGAACACTTTCCGGCCAAGTCCCATTAATTGATCATAACGATATCGTGGAAATGCTGCACGGACCCATATATATAGGAACGGAAACAGAATCACCTTGATACTAAACCAGATCGAGCCCGGGATCTTCTTGGAAATGGGAAGATCTAGGATAGGCGGCCAACCTCCTGGAGAGAGCGATGTGCATGGACCAGGTGAGTAGGGATGCAGCTCCGTGGACCGCTCGTCGGGCCTGATAGGTGGTGGTATCACACCCTTCTCAAAGGAACCGTACGTGACACTCTCGCGTCATACGGCTCCGTCCCGGAATCAGGACTTCCCCTTTCCTTTGACCAACGGGTCCTCAAACCAACCTGTCCTCCCTTTCTATTTCTCGGTAAGCGGTTTTTTTTCATTCATTGATTGATTCAAGGTAGCTTTAGCTTGCTTCCAAGTCCAAGCGCTAGCGGTAGAAGCTAGTCGCCAGAAGCGAACTTCCGGGCCGGGAAGGAGCCAAAAAATGTGAGCGCCCCCTAAGCTATGCTATAAGGGCGAGCCTTAACTTGTTGAAAACTAAAGCAAGAAGGGAGAAAGTTGACTTTGAGAAAGAGGGTGCTTGTTGCCGCTTTATTAGTAAGGTTGCTTTACTAAGATTCGCTTTGTAATATAAATCAAGCGCTTTAGTTTGATTGCTCGTTAGCGCTTTCGTTTTCAATAAGGAAGGCATCGAACTAATAGGCTTGACTAATAAGATAGAAAGGG